AAGATTCTTCAGTGAACTTAATAATATTGTATAATCGATATTACACAAGGAGTGCTGGTTAAAATCATAAATTATCCTCTAGCAAATTAGACTTTTTTCAATTCACATACAGTTTTCGTCTCTACTAGCATTAAGATACCGAGTTACCTATATGTAATTTGGTGAGAAGTCATGCTTTAGTGGTTCAAGCAGAGAAAACTTTCGTGAAATCCGAGACTTTAACCTGATCTAGAATAATCCCAAGTATATGCTATGTACTAATGTCCGTCCAATGAAATAGTGTATTCAGCCATTTTTTAAATAACTCAAGAATGATGATAGATAGAGAGTTACAGTGTTCGCTATGCGAAAGAGGAGATCTGACCACATGTTTTCTTAATAGAAAAAAATTTGAAAATATTTTTGTCAACTAGTTTTCTAGGTGATTTTCGAAAACACAAATCAAGCAGAAAATTTTTCGAATATGATTGTATTGATTTTTTTTATGGGCTGATAGCTCGAGGTGTCCTCTTCAAAATGAGAATCAAATGAGACCTTGGTTTTCGGCAGTTCGGGTGTTGTATCGGATTTTCTACGAGTTTCCAAGGCTGGCGCTCCGTAATTATTCGTAGCCTTAAAAACGGGTGGTTATTGGTAATCGAGCATGCTGAGTCTCGTGATAATATTTGTCTTTAGAAAAAGTTTTAAAAAACTAGCGAGAAGCGAGTTTTACGAAAAATTGGGCTTTCAGACTGTGGTCAGACTTGCGCATGCCTTGTTTTTTAATACAATCTAAGTTCGAACCATCGCACAGCAGAGTAAGTTGTTTTAGTTTCTGCTTTCCTAAACTTATGAATCTTCACTTTAAGATAGCTGTGGACGACCGTGTGAGAGAGTCTCCATGCATGGAGACTCTCTGCACACGTCAACTCGATTCTGAATTTAATTTTTAATTTTTTTCAAATTTAAAAGTTTAATGTGTTTAAACGTATTGGGAACTAACGTGTTTAGCAGGATGCTTTCTAGTCACATTTCGCGCGGGTCAGACGCGTTAAAGTATAACGTGCTCTAATGCGTTGATTATCGATGCTGTGAAACGCGTTTGAAATTCCGGAATGTGACAAAAAACATCCTGCTAAACGCGTTAGTGTCTATGAAAATTTATTCATTATTCATTATTTTCTTCTACTTCAACAACGTTACGTTTAGCAACAGCAGCAAATTCTGCTGCATCTTCAATATCTGTTTCTTCTATACCATGTCATGAACTAATACGTAAAAGGGCTATAGATAACCATTTAAAAGCAGAAAATGAAAAGATAAAAGCACATGACAGTTATGTTGATAATTTAGGTAATAAATTTTATGTAAATGATTTCGTCGGTGTTAAAAAATACATGAAGTAGCTCGCATACTAATACAGACACTAAACTTTTTCCATGTGCGATTGATGAAAAAATAGCCCAAAATAATTCTGTAACCTTTCGATTAGCATGCCAATATGGCTTACTAATGAACACATTCTTGATGAAGTTGTTGATCTGGAATCTACTTGTAGGTAGAACAGGAAGGAAACAGATGTTGAAGATTTAGAAAATATTACTTTTATCGAAGCCTGTGAGGTTTTTGTTCGTACAGTATTATAACAATATATTGATTATCCCATTGATATGAAAACATAATATGGTTATCAATCGTAGTATTGGTCATAATCAGTTCTTAAAAAAAGCTTGTAACGCAAAAAAAACACAAACAATATAAACGTTCACATCAGAAAAACGATTTACCTGTAAAGAAAATGATAGTATTTGTAAGCAGATCACCCAGAACCAGCTGCAACTCTGACTCTGTGACAGGTGGTGTCGCCTGGAACACAAAGTTTAATATGTTATTAGACTATGGAGTCTCTAGGATTTTTGTAAACGCTTTTATAAGAACACGATAACTTCCCTCATCGCTCAATACCTTTCTTTAATCACATCAATAAATTTCGGTTGACTTGGAAAAAACCATTTATTTGTTCGTTCGTATCTAACAAAAAGAGCAAAAAATAAAATTCTCAGTTTTTTTCGATTCTTTATAAATACTACCATTTTCTTTACAGGTAAATCGTTTTTCTGATGTGAACGTTTATTATATTATTTGTGTTTTTTTTTGCGTTACAAGCTTTTTTTAAGAACTGATTATGACCAATACTACGATTGATAACCATATTATGTTTTCATATCAATGGGATAATCAATATATTGTTAGAAAACTGTACGATTATATAAAAAGCAGAAACATACCAGTATGGATGGATATTGATGGGGGAATGACACATAATCTATACAATAGGTAAAAACATGAGTTCTATTTTCATATGGTATTTTGTCTATAAATTTCATTAAAATAGTATGGCAGTCGGTGTTGACAAGGCTGCTGCACTATGTTGTTTTTTAACACCACAATATCAAAATTCAATGAATTGTCAACGTGAACTGCAGTGTGCAGCAGATAAACGTCTTATAATTATACCATGTCGACTGTCGCCGAATTGGACGCCGTCCGATTGGCTAAGTGAGACTACAAATATGAAAGCAAAGTAAATGAGAAACACCCTTACTAACTTCAACCTTTTTTCTATTTATAGGCATCATTCTTGCTGGAATTTTATATCTTGATTTTACGGATATTAATGACAGTAATTTTGATATTAAAGCTAACGAGTTGTATAATGCAATTCAAACTCGTATCGGTTCACAAATGAACTTATCAGGTCTGAAACACGAGAGAGAAAAGAGAGAGACTTGAGACGCCTGTGTATTTTTCTAGCTCTGAATACAAATGTCACTCCAACGACTACAGCCGATCTGGATACAAGTATGTAGAACTTTTTTTGCGATCTGCAAGCGTGAAAAATGTGTCCAGTACCGGCAATAGATCTAAATACACTATATTATAAATCCGATGCATCTAATCGAACTAGATTCACAAGACGGTGCATTCAGTTTTGCATCTAATATCGACTTTAACTCGATGAATCGACCGACTCAATTATGGATGGATCTCTTCAATGCAATTCATGTTCGGCCGGTACATCTGGCGATGCACCTAGGGAAGTCGATTTCCATATAGCTGTAGCCAGTTACAAATTGATCTGTTTCATGATAGAAAGTTTAAAAAAATCAGTTTTCTCGTTGAAGATTGGCTCATAGCAAGCTAGCCCTAGCAGATAAAATGTGAGAAATCTAATTTCTGATGTTTTTTGACTTCCCACAGAATTCTGAAAAACTGTTCCTTCAGAATAATAGAATGAAATTAGTCAAAATAGTCGCTTTTTCAGAGTTCTGTCAGAAGTTAAAATCTCGGAAATTACAGTTTCCGCATTTTATTTGCTGTGTCGACCTTTTCTGAAGTAGTCTGTAGTAAGAAAAAAACAGAAATATGCTTAACTCACTCAATTTTCTTTTCTTCTCAAAATGGATGATAAACGTAACATAAAGTTGTGTAAGTTCTTGTAGTATACTGGACTACGTAGGAGACTGATAATCTCTCTCCAGATGCGCAATTCAATTCTCTACAAGAGCTTCGTTTCTCTTTCTTTTAAGTTCAAAATTCCTCTTTGAATATGGCTATCGTTTTATCATCTATACAGCTGGATCCAACCAATTTTTGCAGCATGACTCAATAGAGTAAAAAGGTGATGGATCTTTAGCTACTCCTATATTTGTTTACTCTTTTTACTCGCTAGACACTTTTGCTGGTGTATCGCCCTAACTTCATCCAGTGTGTCTAGATCTTTTCGTTTGAGATTTCAGCTTGAGATGTTACAGAAGTAAAATATCGTTTAATTTTCGTATCTAGATGATAAATTTGGTTTAGTACGTGGTAGTGTACGTCTGGCTAATGATGGTCGAATGGCTATTCATGAAGGTACTAGTCTGAGTACGGCTGAAATTCGAGGTCAAAGATTATATAATTCTGGTATTCATCGTATTGAAATGAAAATTGAAGCAATGACAAAGGATAATGTATGGGTCTATATAGGTATAATTTCATCTACGACACCAATTGAAACGATTTTAGCCTATAAATCATCGTCATCATATGGTTGGGTACTTGGAACTGATCAAATATACGCAAAAGGACGTCAACAAGTTGATTTTTCAAATGTAGGACATTTTTTTGGTTCTAATGTCAATGATGACACACAATGGTATGATAGTGGTAGTTTTAAATGGTATAATTATTGTTCAGCTGATTATCAGGGACCATGGGTTACTGATTCCTGTGGTCGTCGATGGGGTTGGGAAAATAATTGTAGTTGTATTGATCGATCCGTACCAAGTGGAATGCCAGCAAATGTAGCTACGATTGAATTGATAATAGATTGTAATAATAAAAAAATAATACTAATTAATAAACGTACATATAAACAAGCAGAATTGACAATTGATACAGCTTACTGTATGTTTTCCTGGCAATTAAGTGTCGCATTATGTGCTAATGGTGATCGAATATCAGTCATATAACATAAGTTTTCTATGTTGTTGATGCCACCCTTTAGGTGGCTATTTAAATGCACTATTTGCGAAAATTGGTAATTCGACGTCTGTTAATCTATACTGTTTTGAAATTTGTATAATACTTCATTTCACAGTCTATTTTATTCAAGTGTTTCATTAAATCCGAGTTTACCCATATTAATACGCGTATGACTACGTTTGTATTTCAAGTGGTCCTTCCGGTTCTTGAAGAGCTCTATAAACTATGTAGACAGTATTTTCTTCGTAATCAAATATAACATTAATAGTATTCCCTGTTTCTGAAATACTTGTGACTTCACGAATGATTATTTCTGTATTCAATTTACCATATTATTCATTCAATAAACGCGATAAGCATGGATTGTCAGATGGCTGTACATATCTATCCCAATAGATAGCACCTTTGATGAGTGGATGTTCTTCAGTTTCAAACATGCCATTCCAATTATAAACATTTAGTTCTTTTTCACTGTATTATACTCCTCGAAATTGTACTTCTTCAAACAGCGTGTGATTTCGATTAACTGCGCACACCCAAATGAATTGAACATGTTCGTTTAGCATTTGTCATCATTGTCGAGATCGTTTCTAAATCTATACTAAATTGAGCCGTGCCTTACATTACGTACGCCCAGGGATTGCCTGAACGAGTCGTAATACCTTGATCGTTATTCGTAATCCAAACGTTCTGTTCTATGCCAATCGTTGCTTTGCTGTAAGCAGTAATTGAACCAGCTGGTCCTGCACAGCCGAATTTATCATGGCATGAGAAGTATAATTGTATTTATAATATTTATACAGATTTCCATATCCACTGTAGGACGCTGAATGATGATAGATAACAATAGTCGCATATTTTGCTATAGGCGCGTTTTCGTCCCAATTCAATGATCTTAAATGCAATAAACTAGTTATGATTTCTCCTTTATTTTCATTTAACAAACTGCCTCACGCTCCGATAATACTGCAAGCATCTTTGATTAATTCAGGCAACAGACTTAATCGACTGATATCTTGATATGAACCTTCAATTTCTTCCATTTCTTCATCATACCATAGTGGAGTATGCAAACGAGTAATCGCAAAGTTTAAATCTAACGCGCCTTTCAATCCTTTTTCCGATATCCCTTGTGCAATAAATGGTGAAATCTTCTTCATTATCTCTTCCACATGCTTTTCAAGATACAAAAAGTATACAGCAATATTATTTTTGAGTTCCTCTTTCACTAATGTGCCTAAAAATAATGAATCAGACGAACATAGTAACTGATTAAAATTCATTAGATATTTACTTAATGCTTGTTCCATTTCGAAAGGCGTGCCATAAACGTGCACAATATTGATTTTATTATATCCGCTGCCGACAATATATTTTTTCAGTTTTTAACCACAATGTAGGATTGTAGCGTCGACTGTTCTGTACAAAACAGGCTATTTGGAAATTTTGCGTCAACATTAAATTAACCATTATAGGCTATTTTTTAAAAAGTGAAATTGAAATTGGAATTGGTGGGAATTGGTTAATATTTTCTCTGTTTTTGCCTTCTCAAATCCAAATACAAACTTCATTATGCCTCATTTTGTAGAGAAAAGCCTGCTGAACAATCCTATGTATGCAAAAAATATTTAAAACAAATAGTCTCAAAAGTAGACATTTTTTTCAAAAAAGAATTGGTGCATGCCTAGCTCCATTAACAACGCTTGCCGCAAGAGTACACTTGCAGAAAAACATCCTTAAATTCAGCGCTACAAATCCTCACATTTAAAAGAAAAAATTAATTATCTTCTGGGAACTACAATTTTTTTAATATAAAAATTAAGGTACACTTTTGACACAGCAATTTGGATACTGCGTGAGTAAAATCATTCTATACAAAAAACGGTCAAAGACTTAAACTTTGTTTTAGTCTCATTTTATGCAGAATTCAATTCTGTATCTTGTATGGTATAAAAATGTTGAGATGGATTGCGAGTGCGGGAGTGTAAACACTGAGAAAAAATGGTGATTATTTTATTTTAATGCATAAAGTGAATGAAACTATGTTGTAATATTGTTTCGGTATTCAGTGAAAAGTCTAGTTTCGTTACACCTTATCTCACCAATACGAGGCATTACCAGTAATGCGCATTTGGTCTTTCTGGACAATTTGATTTTCTTTTAATTAAAGCAGGATATTTCCATTCAAGCCCTCCCGCTTTGTATACGACTTGGAGCCGGCAACATTTGACTATGCCCATCTTGTAGAGAACGTCGAGTTACCTATATTTTCATGTTTTTTCGAAAAAAACGAATGCTGTTTTCTTGAGAACCATGGCTCGCAAAGTTGTCCTTTTTACATTAGGAGGCCCAGGAAAGCTCCATTTTACTATATGTTTTAATTTTTCTTCTAATTAGCCATTCGATAGAGCACAAAAAGTTGTACTTATCGTGAAATTTTCAAAGTTATAACTTATAAGGGCTTCATACAGCTCAGGTCGAGGACAAGTGAAAACAGCAAAAAACGGCACTACTGTGATCGCTATAGGTTGATCAAAAATTTTTTAAATTCCAATTGGTCTATAGCCAAAATGTAGCGCAAACCTTGCTCTTTCCAACTGCAAACGAATTAGTCTTTTACTGTTTTGGGCTTTTCAGTTTTAGACTCGAGAAGAAGGTCCGGTTTCCAAATGTCCCTAACTTGATACTGCTGTAATCAATAATATATTTGAACTTCATGCTGATGCTTTCAAATATTGTAAGTAGAATCAAAAGAAAAAGCGAGTTTCTGTTTAATAAGTTTCGAATCTCATAGGTCATGTTTATCAGCGACCATTCGCACAGCTTGTTGCAAATATTGGCTCATGGCATTATGCCTTTGATATTACATTTTGATGATACATCGGTCGCTGTTATTACATCGATCGAAGTTGAAATTGCAAGAGCCAGAAGACTTTATGAATCAATACAATCATTGAAACGTGAAGTAAATTTATTTGTGTATAGGAAAAAATAAGTTCTCAATTGTACGCCAGATCACGGAGAAAGCTAGAATCTGTACATTGCTGCATTAGGTCCGTCTAAGCTTGATATGAACGTTAGATATCTGCATAGTCATAATTAGAAAGAATTTTGTTTTTAAATCTGCTCTTCTAAACATTACATTTAAAATCTTACAATGACTTTTGTTTTGAGCAACGAAGTAAAGGGAAAATAAAAATGCTAGCAACTTCACCTGTTTGTGTTAGTGACATTATTCTTTTCTTGTGTATGTCTGCAGCACATCTTAAGAGGACACTTATCAGTCGAGACATTAAATAGGTAACATAAACAGCTAGCAAGCGCAAAATTGTAAAATTATTTTGTTTTTGGCAAATTTAGCAATTTACTAGCTCCTCTTTTATAATTTCACTTTATGCTCCATCTAAATGTGATGATACAAAGCGATTTAGAATTTTCCAAACTTTAGACAAATTATTGCTCTTCATCGTTTTACGTCGTACCGCAGCATCGCTAGCTGTTTACTGTTCAAGGTAAGCAACGAAATCTCTCGGCTTTGTGGTGAATAAACTGTATTTGTAAAAAACAGAAACTTAGTTACTGCTAGCACATTTTTGTCTGAGTTGAAGATGTTTCACGCTCTCAATATTATTCAGCGGACATGAGATAAAACTTTTGACAATGATGTTCTTAACCTCCCACGTCATCAGAACCGCTAAAATACCGCCGGTTACCGGTTAAAATCTTAGGATTGTGAACCAAGTCTTTTTATCGTTGCATAGCACAGGATCACTAACGTTGCGGATGCCGATCGACTAACATTCATAATCATAGCTTCGATTGCTCTAATAACAGAACTAGCTACAGGAGATGATGATACATTAGAGGCAGATTTCAAAAATTTGTTTGCACAATCTATTTATAAATGATTCTCCATACCTTTTCATGCTTGTAAGCACTCTGTACTTTAGATCGCATCTAAAAATGCTGTGATCTAAAAAGAAGCTAGCAGAGGACCTACTGAATTTTGTGTGATCAGAACTATTTAGTACGTAAAACATTTATATTGACATCTTTCGTTAAGATACCTATTTCTTTTTAGTAAGATCTCTTTTTCATGTGAGATAGTTTTCTACTACTACACCCGTTGTTTTTACTTCTTTCATTCAAAGCTAATGCATGATAATGTCATTCCTTGCATTCAAAAGCGTTGAACTTTTACCAGAAAATTCTCCACACAAAGAGCAGTTATTAAAAATGTTTAGTGAAATAAAACCATTCACTGAACGTAATGCATCACAAGAACCGGCTCAACAGATTTTAACAAATAAATTGCAGATAATATTTATGAAAAAATTAGCTCGAAACAAAATCCACAACATAAACTTCAGGTACTTATGACTCATGAAACTTTTTTTGATCATACAGTATTATCAGACAAAATTCACAATATAGAAATTGTTCTATGTGATGTTGAAAGTATTTTAGAATATGACACTATCAAAGGTCACGAACGTGATTGCTTTCGTAAATTTCACGGCAAGACATTGCGTAATCAGCCAGAAGGAAAACCAACAATCATTTTATTTAATACAAATTTAATAAAAGGTGAAGATGATCTAAGTACAATAGTCTTTGGTAGCGTTGTTTTACTATATGAGCTTGCTCATACTAGTTTCTCGATCATCCTGTACACCAAAGATGAACATATTTCAGTGTTATCATAATTCAAATTCTTATGATGGTGGGTGTTCCTTAGAACACATGGTTTGCGGTGAAGAAATTTTTATTGACAAACAAAGCAAAAAAATGTATTTATTAAGTCATTTCAATGCTTCATTCTCAAGAATTATCAATGATCCAATTCTTCGGACAATATATGATACTGCGTCTTTTATAAAATTACAACAACTGGCTGATCAATCTGTTAAAACTACAAGCTTCCGGAGATTATGTATCAGATAGCGAAGCTAAAAATGAAGTAGCAGCAAATGTAACTGATCACAATCCTTCAAGTGAATATTCACGACCAATTTAAATTTTTGAATTAAAATATTGAATCTGAAGCAATAACGATTTGAAATGCTGTAATCGTCGTTCTATGTTCAGTTTCTTCACTTATGTTTATTTTTGTTAATACTTTCATTTCTGAGCTCAAGCTGTTTGTATATGCTTAGGTTGCACAACAGCAGAATAAAATATTCCTTTAGGCAAATACATAGAAAGTCCCATATAAAAAGTCGAATTTCCAGCGTTCCAAACATTCTCAGCAGTCTGCTTTACCCCAAAACAAAAACAGTTTTTTATCTAGATAGAAAGAATTATTTTCTAACACGCTGAGAACGTCTCCAGTCGAGGGAATTACCCACAAGGAATAACTTATAAGCATGGTTAGTGTTTTTCGTAGTTGAGTGACATCTCGACGCTAATATGTTTGAATGCAAATCGTTTTTGAAGCACACGAACTTCCTCATTTGGTCACAAATAACGATAATGATGACGTCGTTTGGAACTATGACGATGATGACGTTTTTTTCTTGGCCGGTGGTTATTGCAATTATGTTGTGAATGTGCTGCAAATAAATTGGAGTGAAAAACAATGTGAAGGTGGTTCATAGACAGACAAATAACGATTTAAATCTTGAAACGATCTTTCATACAAAAACGAGTCACGCACTCTTAACGGTGAATGAGAGGTGCGATTTTCTGTAAATACGATTGTTGATATATTCTGAGGATGTAGAGAATCGGTTCCAAACTGACCACTTTCGGACATTATATTCTCGATGGACGCTAAATAATGTGACGTGTCTCCATGTCGATTTCTGTTTTGTTCTATTGACGACCTACTTAAATTTTTGGATTAATATTGAATCTGAAGCACTAACGATTTGAAATGCTGTAATCGTCATTCTTTGTTCAGTTTCTTCACTTATATTTATTTGTGTTAACACTTTCATTTCTGAGCTCATTATAAAATATTAATATCCGCGCCTATTCTCAGCTAGGGGAGAAAGAGCATTGCGCCCGTCATACGGCGGACAACGGTGATTGAGCCTTCACAATTAGTAAATCTGCTTTATGTACTTATTTCTCTCTCATATTTCTTTGATTTTTGTACAATTTTGATTTATTCGATTAATCAACTGTTTAAAATCTAAAAAGGGTATAATATTTGGTTTTTGTTGATTGAAAATAACGCGCTAACGACAACATATATTGTGCTGTTTAAAATGCGCCTATGAAGGATCAGTCAACAAGAT